AAGCTAAAGGAGCAGGAGGCTGAGATGAAAGTCATGCAAACCGACCCCGGGACGTTGTCGGAGTTTGGACGAATGATCTATGAGCAAAGAATGAGAGAGATCAAGGAGAAATATAATTTACCTTAGTTTTTTTATTAATGTATCGTTTTTTAAATTATTGACGCTTTTTTTATTTAATGAATGTATTTTTTTATTATTCGTGTTTCAATTTAATTAAATAATAAATTAATTACATTTTATTAATTTAATTTTAGAAGATGTATATTTAAAAATGTAAAAAATGAAGGTTTGAAGCCCAGTTTTGAAGCCCCGGGGCTTCAAACCCATTTCCAGTGAATTTTGGGTGTAAGTTAAAGCTGACGTGGCAGAGAGAGAAAGTTTGTAAGCAAATTGATTTTTTTTAAATTTAGTAATATGATACTCCGGTATCTCATTACAAAAAAAAATCAACGAAAATTCAAATTTATTAAGAAAATGAACCATAATATTGTACATTCCTATGCTATTAATTTTCTCCAATCTACCGTACAAGTCAACCTATTGCACTACATTCAAACCTAAAATACATTGAGTTACAAATCAAACAATTATTCATCTCCGCAGCCCATTACACCAAACCCAAAAGATTTCTCTCAAACTATATTCCTCTTTTCACTACTGTTTATACTTTGCAAATATAAAAAAACAAGAGAAATTTACCTAAATAGGACTAAAACATAATGACTTTCCGAATATAGGACCATATGTTTTTATTTCCCAATGTAGGACCTTTGGTCATTATGAAGTAGTCATTATTCAAGTAAATGTCCATCATTACTAGACATTATTCCTCCTACTAAGTCATTATTAAGTCCTATTTAGGGAATAAAAAATTTTAAGTCCTACATTAGGAAAGTCATTATGTTTTAGTCCTATTTAGGACAAATTTCACAAAAAACAAATGCAAAGAGCTACCAAAACAAGCAGTAAGCTAAAGTGCAAATTCGATCGGAGGTGAGAAGAGAAGAACCCGAAAGACACAATATAGGTTAATGTTTTGAGTTAGGGTGTGGGTTGGAGTTGGTCTAAGAGACCTTAGACCACTGAAAATGAGACCAAATTTTCTTTCCCATCATTTGGTTTCACATCCTGAACAAGTAGGCAAAGTGTACATTTCTTCCCTAATACTTAAAAGAAAAAAGAAGAGGAAGCACTAACATACCATACAAGATATTTTCTGACTTTCAGAAAGAAAAATTCCAATGTGCATTCTAACATCAATCATATCAAGCCATCGTTAATCTCGACGGCTTTGAGGTATGTATCAAAAAAGGGCATAAAAGTACACGTAGTGTTATACGCTATACAACAATGGGGGGAAACATTGAGAGCTATTCACGGACTAGAAAAGAAAACTTTTTTTTTACCAAATTCACACTTCACCTTCACATATAAGGCCTTACAAAATGGCCTCCCGAAACACCCACGCCCCTTCTAAGTATTACTCTGTAATAGGGTTGGAACATGACGAACCTGATGAGGTAGCAGCTGTGCTGGTTTCGCCAGTCACCGATTTGTTCTTCATCTTCTGATTGGCCGCTTCGCTGGAAGGCCCAGGCTCTGACTCGTCCCCAATATCCAGACTATCGGGAAGCTTTTCAAATAGTTGCAAATTGAGTTAGAGATATGAATCCTTTTTTGGTTTGAAAACAATATCTTCATCAGTAGGAAACATATTGGAAATTTGGAGCATAATCCGTACTAATTAATCAAATGGTTCCATCATCTCCGATGATACCCCGGAGTAATTATCAAGATAAGAAAGTGCACACATAGTAAGAACAAAGTACAAACACGAATCAGATTATTAGGATATTACACATTAATCAATAAATCGTGATGTCAGTCCCAAAAGACGGTCTTGTTTGACCAAATTACAATTTACAAATTTTGGTCAGTTATACACTTATACCTGCTACAAAGCATATCAAAAGCATACTATTTTCAGATTTGTTTAGTAGTTTAGCTAAATTAGTTAGATGAAACCGGAGAGCTCGAAACATGACTCTTTTGTTTGGGATGGAAGGAGCAAACGACGAGTAATAGAAACAGTAATATACAGCATCAACTATCTCTACTTAGATGGTTAATATATAGAACCTTTGCTAAATAAAATTGTTTTTTTGGAAACAAGGTGCTAGACTCGTGACTGAAATGAGTCAGTGTAAATTGAAAAGAGTACCTGGATGGCATGCAACACTCTCTCTCTCTCTCTCTCACAATCACAACCAACACAGTCAATCAAGAATCTATTATCACACTATGTGAACCAAATAAGAGGTCTACAGTCCTATACACCCAATCTAACAGTGCAACCAACTGACATGTAAGATAGTTTGATTAATCTTTAAAAATTAATGACTGAGCAATTCTGATATAGCTCCGCCACACTAGTGGAAACACCTTACAAGTATCCCTCCCTATCACTTTTGTCAATAAACATTCACTATGTAGTAGAATTTTGTTGATATCACTTTAGCACAACACTTAATTTCAATTATCATAAAGGATATTTTCTTGGAATTTAATGTGCACAAGTACTTGGCACTCCTTAATTAAAAAAAACAGAGAAAGAGAGAAAAGCTTCTTTTATTGTTGCATCATGCATTGGGATTTCATAATGTGAGTCGGTAAGATTTTTTAATGAAAGCATGGGCCTCACACATTTGGAGAGAAAAGGGGGGATTTTTGGGTGGGTGGGGGGGGGGAAGTGGAATAAGAATACCAGTAAGAGATAAAAAAGGAAAACAAGTTCGCTTTTGACGTTTGTATAAATTCAAATGCTTACTTCAAGTTGATTTAGCATGTCAATAGTTTCGTCCAGGTCACATTTGCTAGCTATATAGGCGTAGGAGAGTGATTCCTCTGATGTATCATGAAAGTTCATCCGAAGGCATCGCATGTCACTGTCAAATTGCATATCCATTAGCTGTGTATCTGTAAGCTCAGATTGACCTTGACAGGATGAGCCATGTAAGTTGAATCTAGGAGAATGTTGCATGTTATGATGCTCAGCCTTTTGCGGGAAGTGCTGAAAATGTTGTGCAGATGCAACTCCAGTTGGAAGCAGACCTTCCTCAATTCCATCATTGCTTCCTACCTCTGGAGACTTTGCACTATATTGAGTGGGAAACTCTCTTTTGGAGAGTGGGACATAAGCTTCAGCATGTGGATTCAAGGTAGATTTTCCTGGGTTCATGGCTGCAGAGCACATATATGTTGCTGTTGAAATGCTGAAAATAACAATGGCAGCATAAGAATAAAGGAATGATGAGAATTGATGATTAACTGAACTGAATATGCACGGTACTCCATACAATATGCTGGAGTATAACAGAATTGAGTCACGGTTAACAAACATAAACAGACATCACATGACTACATGAGAGCAGCAATGACATTGCTATTGACATGATTTTGCTACAAACAAGTTACACTCACAAGTCACAAACCATTCTTAAGGACTCAAATCTACTTAAATTCAATATGATAGTAGCAAGTAAACAGGAACTTGGAGATCAAAACAAAGGGGATAGTTTAAAAGAACTTCAGCTCAACAGATTTTGTTATGAACCATGTCACATATTGAAAAAATTCACCCACATAATAATAACACCTGCAGAAACAATGAATTAATAGTAATACTACTAGAAATGACAATAATAATAAGAACAAGAACAAAAACAACAACAATAAAATACGGATTAACATTAATACCCCGGTAATAATTAGAGTATTCATCAGAAGGAGCACATGCCTAGGTCAAGCACAGTATCTCAATGGACATCTACAGTATGGCGCAGGAGTTATCAAAACAAATGGAAAATGGGTACTATAGGAAACAAAAATGCAAAAACAGCAAAGACTGAGAATTAGTGTATTTATCTATAACTGTAGAAATTAATAAGAGAGAAAATAGTTTGTATATTGAATTGTTCTACCAATTACAAGGGGTTTCTCCTTTATTTATAGGAGAGGAAAAAGACCAAAACACAAAAGGAATTCTACTCCTACATGGAAACAAATCACTAAATATGAACTAGGAAACAAATCAAGAGCAATCCCACTTAGAATGAGATTTGCTTTCCTTCTTGTCTTGTGGTCCAAGGAACACGGCCCAACACCCCCCCTCAAGCTGGAACATGTGGATTCTGGACGCCCAGCTTGGACAGCAAATGAGAAAACGGAGCGGAAGCCAAAGCCTTTGTGAAGAGATAAGCCGGTTGTTCATTGGTGGAGATGTGGCGAGTACACAAAACACCTCGTTGGATTTCGTCACGCACAAAGTGGCAATCAATTTCAATGTGTTTCGTACGCTCATGGAAGACAGGATTAGCTGCAATATGGAGGGCTGCCTGATTATCACAGAACAACCGCATGGGTTGTTTGTGACGCACACCAAGGGAGAGAAGCAGGGATTTCAACCATTTTAGTTCACAAACAGTGGTTGCCATAGCCCTGTATTCGGCCTCAGCCGAAGATCGGGAAACGACACTTTGTTTCTTTGTTCGCCAAGATACCGGAGAATTGCCAAGAGTGATAAAGTAGCCAGTAACAGAACGTCGAGTCAAGGGACACCCAGCCCAATCAGAGTCACAGAAAGCTTTAAGGGTAAGATCACTCTGTACTGGAAGAAACAATCCTTGCCCGGGACNTAGCCCTGTATTCGGCCTCAGCCGAAGATCGGGAAACGACACTTTGTTTCTTTGTTCGCCAAGATACCGGAGAATTGCCAAGAGTGATAAAGTAGCCAGTAACAGAACGTCGAGTCAAGGGACACCCAGCCCAATCAGAGTCACAGAAAGCTTTAAGGGTAAGATCACTCTGTACTGGAAGAAACAATCCTTGCCCGGGACAGGCCTTGATGTACCGTAGAACCTGGGTCTCCCCGTCCCAGTGTTCCTGTCGCGGCTCCCCCATGAATTGAGACAACACATGAACCAAGTGATGACTCCAAGGACGACTGGTTGAGGACTAACATCTTCCACACTGCGTGGTCCCAAAGGGATTCAATTTTCTTCTTTGATCCGGCTTCCTTCTTCTGTCGCCAACACCCCCCCTCAAGCTGGAGCTTGGGAGTTCAACATGCCCAGCTTGGACATCAAAAGATTGAACAAAGCAACAAAGCTTGAGGAAGCCGCTGCTATCGTTGTCCAAGTGTCATCTAGACACTTCAGTTTTTTTCTTCAACGGAAACGCTAAGCTTTTCGAATCCGCCGAATAATCAGCCGAGTAAAGGAACGCCATTCTTTTCGAACCTTCACCGTATTCGAACAAACAGGGGGAACGCCATTCTTTTCGAACACCCTAAACGCCGACTTTTTTTTATTGCCTGCTAAGGAAAGAGTTGCATGTTTCTGTAAAACAACCCTTCTCGGACAACTTCTTCAAGATTGATGGTTGGGCGGGATTTCTCGACAGCAATGTTTTTCGTTGAAGGAGTTCATGATATTCTTTAGTGAGGGAGAACAATCAAAGAAAATAAAAAATTACAATATCCCGCCGGTAGGCATTGAATTTTGTATGCCCACCGGCAGGGGAAGAAGCGTGTTTGAGGTCTCAAGAATTCAAAACTTGCTCCGATACCATGTAGAAATTAATAAGGGAGAAAATATTCTGTATATTGAATTGGCTTGTGCTTACAAAGGTCTAACCCACTTTATATAGGAAGAGAGTAAAACATTTAAGTAAACTTTTATTCCTACCATATTTCTATTCCTACTACAACAAGAACTAAGCAAACTAGGAAAGATACTAAACCGAATCCCAAAGGGATTCAGTTTTCTTCTTTGATCCGGCTTACTTCTTCTGTCGCCAACAATAACTATACAGGATACCCTTTTCAATAAAAATGGGTAAACAATCATCAATCAAGGAGATTCTTCAAGTCAATAAATAAATCAAACCGAAGGAATTTCAAAAAATTCATTCACGCATAAATAAAGCAATAAAATAGACGACGCACATGTACGAAGCTCAGAAAGGAGCGCCAAAACCAAACAAAAAACAGATACAGACGTAGTAAATCATATCTGCAACAACAGCTATAGCTGCGTCAATCGAGAATCCAAACGAAAACAAAAAGCGATCGAAGAACAGTTTAATCGAACAAAAAGCCAGAGAATACTTGGTAAAATCACAGATGAATAATCGGATCAAGGAAACGGCAAAAATCACAGGCACGAGCGAGCGGAAAGCAAGAAGAAGGAAGAAGAAGACGGCGATGGATCTAACCTGCGAGACGAGCTTCTTCTGGAAACCTGAAAATGGCCGCGAATGGCTTCGAGCGAGGAGCTAGAAATGGAACGATCTGACTCTGAAAGAAGAGACGGTTATATCTCTCTCCCCTGCCGTTTCGGTAAAGTTCCTACTTCTTGTCTACTTCTTATCGGATCGGAACCTATTAAAGTAACCAAAGTAGGAAGCATTGAAAATATATTCTTTCCAAATATCTTCGTCCATTACCAAAATGTATAGTAATGTGAACATGTATAGTGTCACATTACAATTATATTATAGTGTAAAGTCTTATTTCAAGAAAAAAAATATGAAAATCATATTTTGATTCTTTTCTCTATGTTTTAGTCTTATTTAAGGTAATTTCTATTAAACTAAGTAGTAAAATAGGTGTTTGATCCGGTCCAAAATGCTGCTCGGGTAGAAATTGGAATTGAAAATTGCCCGTCAAAAATCGGGACAAACATGGTAAAAGTTATAATGGCCAGAGTTATACTCCCTCCATCTATAAATTATTTCTTCGTTTTGGTTTTGCACGCAAATTAAAGAAAAATAAAAAATGTTTTGATTTTCATGTTTGTCTTTTGATCATTGCGAAAAGTAAAATTAAGTGTATGTATGAATTATAATTAATGGGCAAAGGTGACACTACTATTGTGGTTTGAAGAAAAAACATTTGCTAAAGAAGAAAACATGAAGGTAATTTATCGACCGGTAAATAAAAAAATGAGAATGAAAATTATGGACAGAGGCCGAAGGCCATAAAGTGAATCAAAATTAAGAGCTTATTATAATCGTCTAATTTGATTGGATCTGGATTATATTTATATTTAAAAATATTTTTTATCTCACCAGATCTAATTTTAATGAAACTAAGTCTTAGATATAAGCGGAGGGGTAAAATTCATGAATGGTATAGATAACTTTGAAACTATATAATTTCATTTCGGTATACAACATCAAATCATCTTACAAAAATGCATGAAATTGCAATTCTTTTTACCGATGGTCTAATAGCCGGTTCCTGTATGACCATCAGTTCACTTGGGACCAAATTATAATTTTTAAAATTCAGAATTGTTTTAGTTTGACTTCATTTCTTTTTTCTCTCTTTCTTCTGATCTTCTTTATTCGCTAATTGGATCTTCAACTAGATTTGGATCTTTTTTTTCTAAACCCTTTTTTTCTATTTTTCCAAACATTTTAAATAAAAGACAATTTCATATTTAATTAAAGACAAAAAGTCTCAAGACGTAGAAATCATTTAAAACAGTAAAAAAACAATTCAAAATATAATAAGTTCACTCATGAATTCATACACCATGAAGAACTAAATTAATACTCCCTCTGTCCTAAAACTTTCTTCCTACTTCTCCTTTTTCTCTATCCTAAAATTAGAAAAAAAGATGACAAATACATTAATGAAAGGTAACCATACAAGGATATACAGCGGAATATAAAATTTTTAACATCCTAACATGATTATCTTGCCCAGAATCACGTACTAAAACTTATAGTAGTAAGAAATTTATACCTTTCTCCGTAAGTGGTAAAAACGAAGAAGTCATAGGAAGAGCGTTGAAAGTGCAAACGTAACCGTTCAAGCGTCCGGTCTCCAACTTTGACACACGAACAACGCCGGAGTCTACCACAATCTTTATGCTAGTAAAGATTATAGTAGTATAAAATATAAAGATTAAAATTGGAATAATAATAATCTTGTATATTTCTATAGAAAATATTTCTAATAATATTTAGAAAATATTATAAATATTTTCTATACATAAAATGATATTCATGGAACCCCAAATAATCACTTTCTCTCTCTTAAAATGAATATCCTAATCTTTTTCTCTTCATTTATGAAAGTGGCGTGGAGGAGCATTTAACAAATTCAAAGTTGTGTAATTAATTTGTCATTAGCTAAATGACAAAACAATTAGCCCACTCAAATTCCAATCAAAGAAAATTTCTCCTTTAAAATCTCTTTTGGCCGTAAGGGTAGATTGTGAGAAGGATTTGTGAAATTCTTCTCCACTTAAATGTTCAAAGTGTATTTTATTTGACATCAAAAATTAATATAAATTAATTTTAAATCAAATAAAAATACCAATATCATTTTTAAACAAGTATAAAAATATACTTCAAATAGTTTATGTCAAAATAATTATTTTCATAATTAAAATGACAAACCAAAATAAAATATTCAATATAATATATATATATATATATATATATATAACCGAATATTTATATATATAATATTATATTCCAAAATATTTTATTTTACTATTTTTACAAATATACAAATTACTTATTATCCCAATGTTTAATCCTACTCAAATTGTCCAAAGTGTGTGACCCGTATAGGCACTTATAAAGCTGGCCACAGTATTGACTCTGCACCAATACTATAAGCAATAAGCGGTATCTAGCAACACATTATTGCCTCCAGATTATAAGTTAAGACGTTTGCACCGTCAAAACCTTTCCACGACTCAGACTCCGTGTAACTGTATCCCTTTGTCTCAATGTCTAGACTTAATGCAAGGGATTAATAAAATCCAGCTTGTATCCATTAAGTCATTCACTGATTTATCAAGTCTGACTAATAGGAACAGACGTCATAAAAACATCTCAGCATGGCCATGCAATTTCTTCAATCATGACTTATCAGTGGGCCCCATAAGACATTAATCTCTTTTAAAAAGAGTAATGACAAATTCTACGTACGTAATCTACGTTTCTGAATACGAGCTGCGGCATACCCAAAACAAAGCCTGTATACCATCCTTATTTCATATGGCTTAGGACAATGCATCAAAGTATGCGGGTTCACATATGCAGAAGACATAATAATTCAAGTCGAAGGATAGTTACACCCGTGGTCGCGCTAAAGATGCTTAGAGCATGAACTAAAAGTTCAAGCAACATCTTTAGGATGGGTCAGTCCGGCATCCTATTATCTCTAGATAATATCTGCCCATGTGCGGATGCGAACACACTGTCATTGACTATGAGACTAAGTCAAACATCCAACATACACTAGTCTCACATGCATTAACGATATCCTACTCTCGTTAATACTCGACTATGGACATTTAGATAAATATTTATTTCAAGATGTTAGTCTCATCAGCAGAAAAACACTATCTGATAAACATATTTAAATATAAATCTGGGAATATAATATTTGTTTACATTAGCATGAGATGTGTAAACATATTATATCTGCCTATACATGATAGGATAACGATGAACAGTTGGCCATCAGGGCACAACTCCAACAATTAATACCCTCATGTATTTACACCAATTATCTTCTAACTCTATATTTTGAATGATTGCAAAAAAAATTCAAAAAATCTTTTTTAAGGAGGGTAAAATTTAAAGTCAAAGCCAAAAATTAAAATTGGAGAAAAGTCAAACTGGAAGAAAGAATTAGGACGGAGGGAGTACGTTTTAATAAAATTCTTGCTATGATGTCTTTAAAACTCCGATCTAAGACTTAAAGGGTGTTTGTGAGAAAAGGGGCTTGGGAAAAGGGTGTCAAGGAACTTGAAGTTCAGACAGACGCGAGTGAAGTTATAAAGTGGATGATCGACTACACTTCTCTTAGGGGCCCTAATCGCGATATCATTGATGAGATTAAGCATAACTGGCAAAGAAAGTTTACAAGGATTGAGTTCAAAAACATCTTTCGAGAGCAAAACTTTATGGCTGACCGCCTTGCTAAAATTGGAACCTTTCAGGAGGCGAATTGGATTGACCACGAGGACCCTCCGCCTGGGATGGATGACATCATTGCTAATGACATGATGGGTGCTACCAGAGTTCGTAGAGTGCACCTGAGTTAGTCTGGGGTCTCCCCTCCTTTTTGGTTTAAAAAAAGGTGTTTCTGAGTGCGATGAGTTTTGAAAAAACAGATGTGCTAAATCAAAATAGAAAGCAGTTACTCCAAGTTTTGACGAAAATTACTTCTAGAACACAATTTACACTTTTAAAATCACAATCCATAATCTAAAGCAGATTGAAAAACACTTAAAATTGTGTGTAAATGAAGTTGAAGCTCAAAAACTCTCTTTTCAAACACATTCCCAAACACCCTCTTAGTATGATGATAAAAATTGGTTTAATTCCCAAACACCCTCTTAGTATGATGATAAAAATTCATTTTTAGCTTACAATTTCCATTTCAGGTGTTATCCAAAGTTTTTTTTAAAAGAAAAAGTACTCCGTATTAATTTAGAAAACTTTCAAATGAATTTTTAATAATTTAGTTATTTGATTAAGCATCTAGAAATGTATTTCATTAACTTTGACCTTGTAATCAAATATATTTAAACTATGAATAAATAAACCAAGTGAGTTTTAAAGGGACTAAACAATTTATAAATTTTAAAGGGATCTTAACATATATTTAGTTGGGAGAGAAGACTTTGAAAAAATAATAAATTTATAGAAATGATTTGATTAAAATATATTTTAAAGGAACCAAAATCAAAATTTTCTAATAATAGATCTAAGCGACAATTATATTATATTTTAATAATTTCATTTTTCTCCTACAATATAATTTTTTTAAAAAATTAAAAAAAACATGTATTTGCATAAATTCGTAAACTAGAATAATTAAATTATATATGACATAATATTTAATCTCATACTCTAGTTAACGATGCAAACACCTAATGTCTTTATGTATTTCGACTACTTGGCCACATCACACAATAAGAAGTTGGGTGATCTAGAGCTTGTGCAAGTTCTCCATTAAGAAGAAGAATAGGGTTATAATTACGGTGTGGGAGTGGCAGGGGAAAATTAATTAGTTTTAATTATTTTTAGTATTATTTTGAGAATAAAAATATGAAAATCTTATTCCGAAGATAAATGGTATGTTATACTCTTATTTGATGTGATTTCTTTTAAAACACCGATTTAAGACTCAGTTTGATGGGAAAAATTAGTTCTCTTGGTACTCATTTCGGAACAAGATTTTGGTATCAATCAACTTAGATTACAATTTTCATTTCAGACGTTAACAAAAGATTTTTAGCAAAAAGTACTCTCTCCGTCCTAAATTAAATTGCTCATTTTAGATGTTAATAATTTTCAA